ACTCAAGATTATTTCAGATTTCTTGACTTTTACATGATTTTTATAGTCATAAGGATATGTCATTCTTTCCTTCTGTTATCTTTATTTTTCAGGAAGGACTTTGCATCCAATGTTCTTTTAGCTTGATTTCATGATTTGGAAATGCGTGCTATTGGCATTTTAAGTCACATTTAACGAGATAAACTCATACATTTGATTGAATGTAAGTTTTACCATCTACAGTTAGTAAGGAAATTGCTAGTATTGTAAGGAATATTTGTCAGTGGTAGTGCAAGCAAAGAGATGAAAATAAAGGCATCATAATGTAGTTTTTCTAACACTAACATTATTTAAAGAAGATCTATACAATCACCTTGCTTATTATGTAATCAAATTGCCTATTTTGTAGTTCTTTTGTAAGGATATCCACAATTTCATTAGTAGTAGGTATATAAGATATGTAAATCAATTATTTCTCAAATTCTTTCTTTGATTTAACTTCTAAATGTCTTATTTAGTATAATGGGCGAGATTATGAGCAATCACAATTTTTGTTTTGTTATCATAATATATTTGTTGGTGGTGAATTAAGAATTTTCCAATTCTTCCATCAACACTGTGACCCACAAGCTTCACAAATCCCATGTGCCATTGATCTCTGTTGTTTTTACCCAAGACACTTTGTTTCGTGCTTTGCCATATAAACAAATTACTTCCATAAGCATCAAATAGCTGGACATCAATTTTCAATCAGTTATGTATTGGCTTATTCTGCGTTTGCATAGACTTCAACATGTAAGTAGTTTTCAATTGCTCTTATTTTGATGAATCATCAATTTATCCTTTGTTTAAAGAATGCCTTACTTGGATCTCACTGACTCCATTCCCAGTAAACGTATAAATGTCCTCATGTCTTCTATTTTGTATTCCATATTAAGACATTCCTTCAGATTTTTGTAGTTTGTTCATCTATTTTATCACCTTTTAATATTGTGTTTGACTTAAAACAATTATGATAGTTTTTTTTAATGCCTTTTTCTTGAATGTGTACAAATATGGTCAGTTTTGTTTCTGACCAAATCCATGGTTGGGTACAACTTTTCCAAATCGTTCAAACTCTTTGGAGTGGTAGAGCTGTGTAAAGATCTGTTCAACTTGCAAACCTTTTTTTTTCACCATGTTACGACTTATGTTTTAACTTCTAGACTTTTTCATTAAATTTCCATTAAGAAAAGGATTTTTTTTTCATTCAATTGATGTAGAGGCCAATTAAAATTTGCGGCTATGAACCAAATAATCCAGGTAGAGTTAGGGTCTGTTTGGGGCAGCTGCAGCTTATTGAATAATCTGTTGATAGACTGATTAAAAATAATATGCTGACAAGTTATTTGCGGTGGCTATTATAAATTTTTATTTTTATTTTAAAGTCAGACCGATGCCAGAAAGCTGCCACAACACCTAGATAAGTATGGTGTGAAAACTATATTTTCAGCGTTTTGAAAACGCAGTTTACCCAAACAGGCCAGATGCATTTTCAAAACGTCACCGCACCAAATAAGCTGCCCCAAACGGACTTTTAATCTTGGAAATTGGAGCGAAGGTTTCTTGCTAATTTATCCCAAATGTTGGTGTAAACCCTTTTGCTACAGGCTAGCCTTATTCCTCTCCATACTACCATTAGCCTCGCATTAAGTTGTAAATACCCACTCACAATCTAATACCTTTATGTCTATGCACGTTTACAAAGCATCCAGTTATTTCATTACAAGTCATCACCATTTCAATTAATTCAAGACCGCCTCAATCATGCTAGGTATAAACAACTTTGATATTTATTTGGAGATCTGTCTTTGGATAAATATTTAGCAATGGATGTTGGTTGCAAGCTTTGACTTCTTGTCTAATGGCTATAAGGAGATCACAATTTGAATTATTTGAGAGAAATTTAGTCTATAAACTTTGTTGGGGAGTGATTCTGCGTCCTTTATCCCTTTCTTGAGTCCTCGAGTGTAGATCTATAGTTTATGTGCATGAACAAGTTGTCTAGCATGCAACATTACTACCTCTTCTTGCGATTAATTATTGTTGGGATAAATTTTATTGGGATGCCCTTCATTTTTCGTGTTTTAAAAATAAAGTTTAGGGATGAGAGAACACTTTTTGGTGGTAAGCAATCTGAACTTGTCCAAAAAAAAAGAAAAAAAAAATCATTCTTTACTTTTTATATTGCATGAAGGAAGTTTTTTTAAAAAGGGTTGTTTTTGGAGAAATTAATTTTTGTTTGAGGATTATAACATTTGTGATCCTTTTTGTTTTTTCGCATATCCTTTGAATATACTTTTTTCAACTCTAGGATTAAGTTTAAGGTTGAAATTGGTTGTGTGTGTGAACAATACTTGTACATTGAAAAATTTTTAGAGGTAGATTTGAATTAATACTATTAGTGTATATGGTGCTATTAAAATAGCATCCCTCTAACGATATTTAATGAAATACTGAAAATAAATTGACTATAGGGAAATTTTTGTAAATTATTTTCACTTTCAGCTATTCCATTTTTTTTAATGGTCTCCAATATATTGATTAATGTAAAATCCCATTTTTCTTTCTAGAAAAATTTCAAGTATATATTAATATATTTTTTTCATTATGAGATCTAAATTTAATAAATTTTGAACTAAATTTCATCCATTTTGTAGAAGTTGAGAATCGTTTTTTACTTCAATTTCACTTTCATCAAATAAAACTAACACAGACTAATATGATCATCCATAATGGTTACACTATTTTATTAATCATGATGATAATTTTAGAGGAATCCCACACATCACTGTGGATCAACTAAAACAATTTAGAAATCATGTTAATGTTTTGTAGGATTAGCACCATGATGGCATTTTTGATAAACGTAAAATTCAATATCAGAAAGAAAACAAATCAAATTTTTAAAGAAGTTAGGAAACAAATGTTTAAGATGTGAAAAACAAGATTCGATAGTCTAAGATGCCAAATCATCATTTGTTTAAGAGCTGATATTGAACTAATACCATAATTTTATTTACAATTTTATTGCTGAAGGCACCATCATCATGGTTGTAAAAACCATGAATCATTCTAGCACAACCAATCACACTCCCTGAGTTCTGCTTCTAAAATTCACAATGAGTAAAAGACAACAAGACAACAAGAATCTTTATTTAGTTTGTTAATTAAAGTTGTAGTTTAGATTAGAAATATGAAGGACGAAATGAAGGGTTTATTTGTTAGGGATGATGATTTGCTTTTTTTTCACATTGGGTGAAAACGTGCCTTTTGCAATCTAACTTTTTTACTTCTAGAACGATGTGATTTATTGCCAAATAACGGTTAAAGGAGGTAGTATGATTAGATGCCTTTGTGTTAAATTTTCTAGAGAGCAGAAATTTGGCTATGGATAGAGCATTGGGATCATAATGAATTCTTTTTGCAAGTGATCCACTAGTGTGAGTAGATAAAGAGTTTGATTTTATTAAATTCAGAAGATGATCCATCTGCTCCTTACTGAATGGAGTGGTTGACACTTCGTTTGTGTAGGAGGATTAAGTGGAGGTTGGTTATTTTGCTCTTCTACTTGATAGATTTTTCATTGATCTTTCTAGAATTTTCTGGATCATGGCATGGTTTATTATAATGATAACACCTTATTGATGATTTTTATCTTTGCATTTTAAAGTCTTTGTTTGAACATGAATCAAATGCTAGTGGAGTGTTCTCTATAGGTACAACTATTCCAAGTATAGCATTTCTGGGACTTTCTATCCTTTTATTTCAACAAATACTTCATTAATAGGTAGTAGAGGTTGGCGACCAGCAATTCTTCCCCTGAATACATCAACATTTAGACCTTCTAGAAATGTTAGAATGATCTTTCACCATCCCTTTGTTGTGATTGCAATTTGTTGATCTTCATTTATAATCATTAAATTGATCCAATCCTCATCATAGGCTTTTCAGAGAATTGAAGTATGGCCATTTGATCTGGGAAATTTTAAAATCTGCAGTTTAGTAGACAACTAGATTACCTATAGCTTCTATCTCTTTCCTTTCTAGGAGAAAGCATTAGAAAATTTTAGCTATTTCATCTATTGCATGTGCTTTTGAACGAGGTTGATGGTTTTCTGATGACCTTATCTTTAACAAGTTAATCCAAGGGCGATTTCCCTTTTTCTTGCGCTACTATAAGACTTGTTTTTTTGGATTCTTTTCCTTGTTTACTAAGATGTATTATATTGTCTTGAAATGCGGTAGGTTAAAGAAACATTATAATTTTTCTGTTTTATAACTTTATACTGTTTTAACTCTGTCCGTTTATTTAATTTGTCATTCAAGGTGAAATAATTTTCATGCACATTATATTATAAGAGCCAGTGCATTGTTAAACAGCTTGGTCTAATATCAAGACAGTGTAAAATAAACTTAATTAGCAAAAAGTTGGTAAGCTCAGCTGGGAAGCAATTTTACTGCAAGTGAAATGAAGAACAAAAGTCTTCTTATCTCTATGATATGGAGTTATTCCCTGCCTTTCTCCTTTGGCTTATGGCTTTACTTCTGAGAATCTAGAAGTTTTCCTTTTTTAAATTATTTCTTTAAATTCAACAGATTGCAATGATTTTTGGCAGCCATTACTGATTTGGGTGTTTTGGGGAATGATTTTTCTAGGGTTATGTTGTTTTTGATAGTTTGTATTTGTTTGAGATTTATCCTTTGCCAAATTAACTGAGATTGAGTAGAAACGAGCACTATATCCTTTTTTCTGTTATATTATGTAACCATGTGGATATCTTGCATGATGTTGCTTTCCATGTTTCTAAAATTAAGCTACTGATGTTTTTTTTCAAATTGCCTCATCTCATTTTTTGTGTTATGTAAATTTAATTAAGAAAATATTTATTTTGAGTTTACTTGATGCTTTTGCTTTGTGTCTAGAACATATGCTCTTGCATTTGAGAGATTATAACATACTATGACATTTCATAGTGTAGGTTGGAGATTTAAGAGAGAGCGAACAAGAGTTGAAGCTTATTCTGGAGATGTATCGTCGTGAATCAACAGATTTTAGGTATAAAATTTTTCCTCTTCCAGGTCTCTAGTTTGTATTTCTTGCATTTAATTTTTCATTGGGTCCTGTAAGTTCTTCTTACAGATGCATCAGGTTTTCAGAACTGGGGAGTTAATTATTGTATTTTCAGTATTCATTTTTACCAAAGGAAGCACCATCTTGGAAGTAGTTGAACCGCATTACTTTAAATAAGAATCTTTCCCTTTCATTTGCTTTCTTGCTTGGATAAATGTTTTTATTATGTTAATTTCCAAGTTTGAGTTCTTGCTATGCATCACTGTTCTCTGTGAAAAATGGGTGATCTGACTAAAGTTAATCTGCTGAGCTTGTAAGCTTGGATGTGGTAAAATCTTGTTATGTTACATGTTTGTTTCTTTGTCTTTGTTTTCGGAGAGATACTAGACGGATAGTATTAATGAGGGCCCGGAAAAATTGTTTGTAAAACTATCTTAAATTTTTAAATTAATCATAACTAGAGCACAATTTTAGTTTTAGTTAACTAGGGTAGGATGATTATGAGTAAAGGATGACGTAAGGCCAGCTTCAGAAAAAAATTTCAAATAGGACTAAAAAAATATTCAGCTTAAAGCGTGGCACAGACAATACTCGAACTTTTGTGGCCATCATAGAAGCTAGGGAGCATATCATCTGTGTTGACGCTTGTTGGTGAGAACTAAGGAGATGTATCATCTATGTTGCAATTTTTTTTTTTTTTGCAACTTGCAACTCATTTTTAATTTATTATTTATTATTAACTTTAAGTGATGATGCTTTCATGTTATAGTTATTTCATGGTACTTTTTTGGGTAATTAGATCCAGGTCTTTCAAAACTACATTACATCAGAATTTTTCCCCTTAATTGTTTCAAGTTTTCAAATATTTTTATATAAGCCTTGCATGCCCAATTTTGAAAACGTGTGAAATTTTTTCTTAAAATTTGAGGACCTATGAAATTTGGTACCTAGTTGTCTGAAGATGAGGGACTTGCATGCCAGTAGCTCATGTATATTGCTTTGAAAATTTCTAATTTTCTGCACAGTTCATGCCCTTTAATCTCCCCTACCTTTACCTCTCGCATTACAAATATCTAATTGCCTGCTGAAAACGTTCCTCAGTCCTCCCTTACTATTATTTTTTGATGTTGAGATTAAAATGCTTTTTTTTGATATAAGCCATTTTGGAGTTGGCCCTATTGGGTTTCATTGATAATCAATTTATTTGTGAGTCATTCCTTTTTCGTAGATCTTTATTTTAGTTGTTACTTTCTTTTAAAGTTAGTGTTTATTCTTAGGGTTTGTTTGACAACTAGTAGGATTTAACATTGTCAGGATTTATTTAGTGATGCAAATCCTGATTTAGTAAATCTTAAGGTTAAAAATCTGAAAATTGTTTGATATGACAATTGCTTCATTTTATTAAATCTTGATGGCTGTTTGGCTGTTTGTTTCAAGATTTCAGATTTCTGACAAGTCATTAAATCCATTAAATCATTTGAAGAGCTGGATTTGGCAAATCTTGGAGGTTATCAAAACAGTAGGATTCAAAAGTCCTCAAAATCTGTTTGCTAGGGTTTTAGCTCAATGTTATCTAAAATAGGACCAGCAAACAGTCCCACAGGAACTAAGTCCATTCATAACTACTTAGTGTTGGCATCATAGCTTACTGGAGGAACATGTCATGTTGTTGTAGTGATTATGACATAGTAGTGCATACATATAACATTAACATGGTACTGGTCAACCAATTATAATTTTTTTTTCATTATTTAGGGATATTTTGGAGTCTCGTGATCAGGAATACAAGGCATGGGCTCATGTTCAAAGCCTTAATTCTTCCCTTGATGAGCATAGTTTGGAAGGCCGTGTAAAAACTGCTATTGAAGCTGAAGCATTATCTCAACAAAGACTTGCCACTGCTGAGGCTGAGATTGCTGATTTAAGGCAGAAATTGGAATTTTCTATGAGGTATAGGCTACAACTTTGTTGCTTTATTTTTGAAAAAAAAAGATGGTATCTTTATTTCATTGTTCTAGCAAACTATCATAATTTTTATCTAGGCGATTTGTTGTTCAAAACCTTTATTTTTTATTTTTTAAACATATTCAGGGATGTAACCAAGTCATCCGAAAAGTTGAACTCCAAGCATGAGGAGGGTGAAGCCTATCTTTCTGAGATCGAGGTCCTTTTCCTTTTATCATACCTGATCAATTTATTTAGCAGCACTAATTTATAGAGTGGTTCTAGCACTTGAGACTCCTGCTAATGTAGCGTCTTTGGAGGGGGGTTGTATTTAGTAAAACTGTATTCCATTTTAGAGACCTTCACTGAAACCTCTGACTGCTGAGTCATAATAGGGGCAACCTAACCATTCTTCTTGGGATGTATTATGCACTGAAATTCACTACTTATATCTGCCTTCCATTACATGCAGAGTATTGGACAAGCATATGAGGATATGCAAACCCAGAATCAGCTTCTCTTGCAGCAAATCACGGAAAGGGATGAATACAACATTAAGGTACTACTGGAAGCTTCTTTTAGTGCTGTTATCTTGGGCAATCTCCTATTTTTAATCTTTAGAGCAGCTTAAGCAACGAGATGGAGATTGTTGAAGAGCTTCCAATTTTTGAATAAGAGCTCATATTAATTTTATATCAAAGATAAATGTGCTATCTACAATATAGATTTGTGTGCCCTGCGCTTTACTGTTTTGGACATTTTTCTAGGATTTGTGGCATAAATTAGTGTTTGCATAGAATTGTGAGGTTTAATGAGGTTGGTTATGCATACGTGTATGGGTTCTTGATGTTTGAAAAGTGAAAACTCACAAACTTGGTCTCAGAATTTTCATTAGATAGCTGTTTTGGGTCCTTATGGTTTGCAACTATTAAATGACTATTTTAACCTTTGGTCTTATTTATATTTCAAATGCTTGCTGCTTGGCTTAGTGAAGAAGACTTGAGCTATTTTCACCAAGGGTGAATCCACCTTTGATCTTAATCTATGAAGTCCGTAAAATTCCTAGAAATAATAAGAAATTACGACTTCATTGAGACTGGATTCTTCTATTAGAAGTGAGCTACTATCGCTAGAGATGGAATCAGTTATTTACTTCCTGAGACCCTTTATTTAATAGAATTTTTCTTCTTGAGCAAACAAGTACAAAATACTTAATTTTTGACATTGGGGTACATGATTTCTCTTTTTCCGACTTATAATGGAAAAATGAGCTTATGGATTATCTTTTATTGCGATATTTTCCTATCATTGCTGCACCTCACAAACAACTGCTCACATTCATTTGTTTTATTATCGGTATTTCTGAAGTATACAATAATACCGCACCTTTCCTTGCTCTTTGTGTGGAAATGCAGCAGCATTCTAGGAATCTACACTGGTCTCTATGATTTGGCGCATAAGCTATTGCATGTTTGAAGAACATTATTCACTTTTGCTTGTTTAAGAAGTGTAGAATGACTTTGATTACTTTTATTTTTTCAATCTTTACATGATGATGTTCTATTTGTTCGTCTTGTAGTGTTGTAGGTTCCTCTTCCTTGGGATTGCCCCTCCTCAAATTCAGATTTTTACTTCTATGAGAGGGTCTTTTGCCCCTCCTTAATATTAGTTTTGCCCCCTCCTGAAATATTATTTTGCTCTTCGTTGTCCTAACCCCTCCCATATTGGGTTTAGAAAAAAGAGGCCGGTTCCACTCTTGGTACTCTATGCAGAGCGTTTAATAGTTCCCATGAACATCTTCCATTTTTATCTTGTTCATGTATATCTTTTTCTCATTACCTGTGATAATTTTTTTTTGAACTTGAGTTCCACCAAAGTTCTTCATGGAGAAATGTTATAGAGAGAGAGAGAGAGAGAGAGAGAGAGAAGTGTTTGTATGATGCACCGATATAGAAATGAGGAGACTAACCTAACAGTCCCCTAAGATTTATTTAAAATATAGGTTATAAGTACGCATAAAATACAACATTATAATACTATATTTTGAAAACTTGAAAAGTAATTTTATCATTATATAAGTTAAATAAATATGAAATTAATTCATAAAATAATAACTTTATTTTAATTTCTCATAATATTTTAAATATGTTGAAGTTTGCTCAATATTTATTACCTAATTGAGCTAGGAATAGCTACAGGATATTGTAGATTATTTGATTGTAGTTGAGAAAATTAATTATTTATCAAAAGAAATAAAAAATAAATAGCTACATGATAGTCACCTAACACCTCTATTATTGAAATTATAGGACATGCACACATCAGATACATCATTATCATACTATATTTTAAAATCATAAAAAGTTTTATTATCATACATAAATTCAATAAATATGAAATTAATTCAGAAAGTAATAATTTTTTTCTTGATTTATAATAATATACAAATATTTTGAAGTTTATTCAATAATTAATACTTAATTGAGCTAGGAATACTACTTGAAATTGTAGATTATTAGTTTGAAGTTGGGAAAATTAGTTATTACTTAAAAGAACAACAAATAAATATTATAAAAAAGGATATGGAAGAAAATGAAATTAGTGTTAAGTGGCCATTAAATTATATATGTAATATGTTTCAAAATTAAAGTTTATTATGCAGGACATGCATGCTCCTTAAGTTCATTTTTATGAATTGGACATTTGAATGGCCATATACATATATACAAAAAGGAGGCAAAGTGAATCAGCTGTGGGTCTGTTTGGAGCAGCTGCAGCTTATTGAATAATCTGCTGATAAGCTAGATGCGGTAGCAATTACAATTTTTTATTTTTATTTTTAAAGTCAGACCTCAGTCAGAAAGCTGCCACCGCATCTAGACAGATGCGGTGTGAAAAAGCTGTTTTTAGTGTTTTGAAAATGCATAAGCTGCCAAAACACAGTTTACCCAAACAAGCCAGGTGCGTTTTCAAAACGCCACCGCACCAAATAAGCTGTCCCAAACGGACCCTGTGTTTATTTTGCGCCCACACATACAAGCATACACGCACACACCAACAACAATATCGTATACTCACACACACCAATATCACTCATGAAAATTACCATTGGGACCACTTTGCGTTGTTAGTATATGGATTGGTTCCATGTCAAAATTGCAGTGTGCTGTATATTTTTATATGAAGCAATAGAGTAGCTGTATTGCTTTTTTTTGTTGCGTGCAACACTAAATTAGAGCATAACCAATTCTTGCTTTTCAATGGTTTTCCAGAGAACATCTTTTAGGATTTGAGGATGAAGTTTATTGATAAATGAAAATTTTGAACCTTTCTAAAAACAATCCACAATTATTGATGATTATTTCTGAACAATATATGTGAAGTGAAAAATTAAGAAGTAATCTGCAGTATAGAGTATGATTGTTTTTTTAAGGGCAGGGTTTACACTGGAGGGTAGTTAAGTAAGCAAGGGAGTTTATTAATTGTGTAGTAGGTAGGAGCAGTTTATGAATTTTTTTTTGTCTGACAAGATCATACTTTGACTTTGTTAACCATGGTGAATTTCATCTAAGTTCAATTCTTTCATCCATACAGTGTGCCAAATAAAAAACTTGTAATCTGTTGAGCAAGGTTCGACATTCCTTCGGTCTTATGAATGGAAGATCTGTGAGTCTCAACATTATCTTAATTGTCAGACTACGAATGTTGAGAATCCATCTGAGTATCTGAGTAACTTTACCAATCGAAATGCTTAGAGGCTCCAGTGAATCCATCTACCCACTCATCGAAATATCCGTGAAACTTGATTAATGCGTGCACTTTTTATTCAGATAGAAAGCTGTTCAAATTTTAATTCATGCCATGGATTTCTGCTGATCCGTCTCCAAAAAAATTGTCCAATACTGTAAAAAGGCCAATTTATTCACTTTAATGATACACGTTAGAGGATTGAGGAGCTCTTAATGTGTTTTTTCAGGAGCCTATGTCCAAGTTCTGCGAGTTAAAAACCTTAATAATTATCCATCAAGCTCCATTTACTTGATACTTAGTAGTTTCTTGGAAAGAACTACAGAGACATTGGCATCGAAGATTAGATGCTAGTAAATGAAGCAAAAAAAAACAAACTCTTGTTTTTATCTTGTTAGGTGCGTGGTATCTAAATATACAAGATGATGTATGCTACTTGAGCATTTTAGCTGGTAACTGGCAAGTGGCTCTGCTAGCATCTTATTGTTCTTATAATCATAGAACTATATAATATTTAACGGCTAGAGGAAGTAAAGGTTTAATGTCTACCCAGCATTTCTTTGATTACGTTGACCTAGTGTGAGGCGATATAGTCAAAACGTACTACGTAAAATGACCGGTTGAGTAAAATAGCCAGTTAAGAGTTTATCACACTTTATAGGTTAATTTTAATAGCCCGTGGAAGAAATACTTGTGTTGTACAAAACAGAAAAGTTAATTGTAAGGGCTATAATTTTAATGCATAATTTTTTGTGTGCACCTTGGCCTATATTGCAATTTTTTTCTCTTGAAGACTGTTTATGTATGGTTATGGTGCATGGTTGCTTTGTGCATGTTTCTGAGGCCAATGTTTGATGCTCAGACCTCTGGTTGATTTGATTTTTTTTTCTTTTGGTACTCTATCGAACTTATTAGCTGTTATTTTGTTTTTTTCTTTTTTTTTGGCACATGAACTAATTGTTTATTGTTTAGCTTGTAATGGAGGGCGTGAAAGCAAGACAGATGCATGCTGAAGTTTTAAGCGACGTAAAATCCATAGAAAAAAAACTTCAGGAAGGCAATTCATTGGTGGAGCTTTATGACCTTAAAAATGCACGATTTGATGAGCAGGTATTTCTTGGCAATAAACACAAATGTGAATACAGAGATGTTACATTAACTTGCATTGTTTTACAGTTGAGAGTTAAATCAGATCAAGTTGCAAAACTGGTTGAAGATGGGTGGCAAAGTTCTATTGCACTGGGTAATGCACAAAGGAAACTAGCTGATGTGCAGAAAGAATCTGAGTCGTTGCGGCAGTCTATGAAAGAAATACAAATGCAGGCCATGAATAGCAGATCGGAGATCACAGAGCTTTTAATCGAACTAGAGAGGGAGAGGTAAGTAAAATGTTCAAATATTGTATTATTGAAGTATATGCCTATTATAACTGTATGTTTTCTGAATTTGTTAGGTTCAACAAGAAGAGAATAGATGAGGAACTAGAAACAATGACAATAAAAGCTGCAGCACTTAGGCAGCAAACTGATGGCTCAGTCTTATTGGAAAAGCTTCACCAAGAGATAAGAGAATACAAAGGGATTCTCAAGTGTCGTATTTGTCATGATCGTCAGAAAGAGGTAGGCATTATTGTTGGAGGTTATTTTATTTTGAAGAACATTTTTGTTGCCATAATTTATATTTTTGCATGCATGTATTGTTGAGTCTTAAACCTTTTCCTAGCTCTGGCAACCTTGCTTCATAGGAACATGAAAGGTATTTTGCATGACCTGAGGGACTTGAGATTCTTAGGTGGTTCACTTGATGAAGGCAAAAATGTTATTTGAAACTTAAGAATTTACACCTTTTTTTTTCTTATCTAATATGTTAATTACAATTTTGGTTAAATCATTGTTGTTTAAGGTGAACTTAGTGCTCGCCAAGGTCTAAAAAAAGGTGGACTGAGGTGAAACTATAGTCTTGACAATCTCTTAGGTGAGACATCACTTGGGTATTGTATATTTGAGCAAGACCCTTAACATGATTGGAGAGATATGTGCTAATACTTCTAGCTCGAAAGATGAGTTCACTTTGACTGTTACAATCGGATATGGGCAATGTGAAAGACACAATAGAAGTTGGAGAACAATGATGTACATTTGATAAAAAAAGTTCGATTAAATATTGTTGAAAAGATTTGAAGTTTTAGAGTAATGAAGTGATGACTTCGATGAGATAGAGAAAGAGATGAAGGGGTACTAATTTAATGAGCGGGAATAGAGCATGGGTGATGATATTAGAGCATATAGTAGCTAATTTAAATAGTTCCTACAGTATGCATGCTACGAACTTAGTTTGATAGTTTAAGTTATTTTACATGTCATTTGTGTACTTTGTTTAACATAATTCATTCAACAATGTTTGGTTACTTTAAGTGCTATGAACTTGAAAGTGTATTGTCTTAGGACATAAGTATAATGTGATAATCTTTATTTATTACATTCTAGAAGTACTCTGCAAGATCTAAATCAACATTAAATGAAATATTTTTTTTTGTAAAGTCTTACTTGAGTTAATGATTAGTTTGCCTAAGGTTTTGGGCGTCAAGTGAACTAATTGCCCTGATCTTGCTTAGGACATGTGAAATAGTAGATTGAATGGAATTAGGTTAACATGATTTTGTTCCCTGGTATTTTTTTCTTCTTTCATAGTTATACATTTTTCTTTGAGATTTGGGAAGTAATTTTTTGTTTTCTTTCTTCATCATGGAGGACTACACTTATTCTTTTCCTTGTTATTTTCTTTCTCTATGTTTATAATTTTACTATATTCTACATGGAATTTTATTTCTTGTTTGTTTGGCATGATATTTTGACAAAAAAATGCATTTATGTTTTGTATTATTGCTAGGATAAATTAGACTAGGTTCTTGAAGTAGAACTACATGTCAGTGCACACATTTGAAAAGCTTTTATTTTGGGTCATTACGTTGAAAATAATTATGCTAAGATACTTCCATTGATAATTTTTTAGATAAAAATATTTGAAATATCATGACCCATTCCCTCCCCTCTTTTCTTATTCATTGTTCCTGCCTTGCTTTGAGGTCATGCATTTGTTCTTAACTTTACATTTGTATGAACAACGAACTTATCAGATTCACATTTTCACCAGCATATAAATAGAAATATGCAAGCTTACATGGTGTCACTATATAAATTGCACAAATGGAGAGTATATGAATTTTCGAATTTATAAGTAGTGAGCGAGCTTGTAAAAAAAGATGTTTAATAAATTTCAGAAATTTTTTTATTTTTTAACCTATCAATTTCGGATAATGAGATTAAAGATTCAAAACAAATGGGTTTAATTTTATTATTTACCCACAAAATTGCGTTCTATTAGATTTGATCAATAATTCTTTAGGTTAGTAGGTGAATTAAAACTCTAATCTATAAAACTAAGATTCAATTGAGTTTATTTAGGTGGTCATCGATTAAACGATAGAGTTAATGTCCCTAAATCATGGGGTTGTGTTTAATGCCCTTTAAATTAGTAAAATAAAGGGAGTAATAGCTTTAATGAGTAGGGTCTGATCCGCCTACCAAATACCATTTATTTTCTTGTAAGATTACATTACCCAGACATGCCTAGTTGTTGTAGTTAGCACTCTCCCTCATTTCCTCACCCATGTTTTCCACTCACACACATCCACTTTTCCTGTGCACACCAAAAACCACAAAATTTAGAGTAAATTTATTTTGAGAGTAAATTTATTTTTTAACAAATATCATTTAGTCTTATGTACACAAATGACCCACACACTTGCTCAATTGGTCTGTTCTTCAAACTCCCTGTGCACTTATCTATATCCCTCGCAACCTTCGATCATGCCCCTCTACATTTCCTAATCTCTCTTTATGTTGCTCTTCTTCGTGTTCATTGATATCTCTACAACCCACTACCTTTTCTCCCCAAACTCTACTCATCCCACACAAATGAAGCACACACTCGCTCGATTGGTTTGTTCTTCAAAATCCCAGTGTACTTGTCTATCTCCCTCACAACTTCTGATCATGCCTCTTTACATTCTTCCCAGTATGTTTATATGGCTTTTCTTTATGCAATAAACATATTCTCATTCATTGATATCTTTACAACCGGCTTCTTTTTCTTCCCAAACACTACTCAAATCCCACACATCAATGCCTTACATTGTTAAAATGCATTCATCCTCCCTTTGAATTTTGTGTGTCGTTGACTTATAACCCTTGCACCTTATCATATCTCTTGCCAACTCACATGCTTAAGGGCCACTAATTCCCTTTTCACGTAATTGTGCACCTTAACTCCCTCAATCATACCCTCTATTATGTCATTGCCCCATTTTCCCAAGTTTGAACACTTGTTTGGAACTCAACTACCTCAATTTTGTCCCCCCTCTTCGCACCACATCCTGTGCACACCATCATGCTCGGTAATCCCTCATCCCTCTACACTTAATAATCACAACTCTCCACTTCCAATTTTTTGGTGTGATTCCTGCACGCTCTGTAGCTCACACATCGCCTTGTATGACACTAGCTTGTTAATGCATGGGCCTGAGAACTCAAAATTCACACCTCAGAAGCTCTCAATCTACTTCACCACATTTGAGCCCCCTTATAATTTTAATCTTCTTTTGAATTCTTAGAACATAAATGTTTGAATTGAAAGAAAACTTGAACCCTCTGTGCCCATTGTTCTTTTGATCAGATGAAAATTGGAAACCTCTATTACCATCAATTTTTAGTCTGGTCGGAGCTTGAAGTCCTTTGTATCAAGTGAATCTTTTAACCATGGTTTTGCTCATCTCTGTTGATTGTTTGGTCCAGATATAGGGAGATATTCATACTTGTGGTTTAAGTATTGTCAATGCATGTAATACCTTAAGTCTTTCACTATAGAGGAATTGCATGTTTTCATCTTTTAAAACTAGTGGAATATTTAAAAGAATTGAATTTGCAAAACTGAATTAATAATAAATTTTGGAAAAGTGCAAAGTAGTGCAGGTAAGCTGTAGTTTCAAGTTAGCAACATTTGCCAATTTTAGGTCTTATTGGAGTTTGACGAGCTCCACATTGAATGCACGGAAGCCATAGTTTGAAAGTAGTTGCATTTGTTGATCTTTGTCATGATTGGAGTTTGATGACTTCTGCATCTGTGGAATCTTTGATTTGGTTGGTGTTTGAAGTCCTCTGCTTTTGTTGAATCTTTGACAAAGTTTTACTTACCTCTATTAATCTTTGATTCAGGCTCAACGAAATGAATTGTTATTATCGGTACATGAATAAAACTTAGCGGCGAACTTATTGTTGTTAGCTTGCCATAAGTATGGCTTCGACATTGTCTCCATACCCATTACCTCCAACTAGAGGTAGGTCTTTTGTAAAACATTCGACAAGGAAATAAGATGGACAATTTGACATTCGTTACAATGTAATGAGTCCGAAGAAAACTACTATATTGCTACACTATTTTTAATTTTCATGATCATATCCGTAGAATTTTATTTCTTCACCCAATGCTAAATTCTATGGATATGATCTTGAAAATTAAAAATCCAGCATGATTATGTAAATAGAAAATACTTGTTCAGAAAATAAGACCCTATTATTTAAGCCTTACAGAAAGAAGAATTTTCTTTTAAGATACTTTTTGATAGTCTTAGGAGGAAATTTCCTATTGAGTCTCTAGAAAAATACACTCAAGATTATGGAATCTATCAGAAGTAGATATCTGATCTCTTCTCTGGAGAGGAGAAATATATAATGTCACAATTACATAAGAATTAATTGCCAATGATGATATGGTCGACTATTGGGAAGAGATAAAACACTAATCTTGCTGAAATCCGTAGATGTATGAATTCATGAAATCATAGCTCGTTTCGTGATTTAATAAAAAACATAACTTATTTTCCAAGATAGACCTCAAATGTGCTTCTCGACATAACCCAACATTTCACTAATCCACCTTATTCTCTCCCCTTTTGTTCCTAACAACTTAATTTCTTCTTCCACTTCGTTGATTCCATGCCAAAATCCTTATGGAAGCTCGCGAACCAAGTCCGACGCTTGCTACGACTATCATAAACGAAAAAGGCACAAATCATGGTAAACATCAAAACAAAAACACGAGCAAAAGGATGTTTAGAATATCCGTTAATGTGAGTTTCGTACCTTTTGATTTTACTTTAGAGTTTTATGCTGAGAGTTGTGGCTTCTCTGGTTGTCGCTCACCCTTCTGTTCTCGCTTTGGATCGCGCCTGTGCGAATTAGGATGAGTGTCAGTGAAAATTTAGTCTGATCAAATTGTTCTCCTCTTTTGCATCTCAGTTGACCTTTAAAGAAGGGTGGGGGGGATTCGGGATGTGACACTGGAAGCTCTGGATGAACCTTAACTTTATGCTTAACAAAATTTAGAAAATTATAGGGCCCTCCATATTGCCATGATGTATTCTCCATATCCTCCTTGACCAAGTCTCATGATACTATTGTTTGCCCTAAAAGTTTCAAGATGGGTGAATTAGTCCTCATGGTGTCAAATACCTATGAAACCAAATTAGAAATGATTCTTTTTTTATTAAATATGTAAATGA